TGTTCCAAGTGGAACGACCACATTTACGAATGGACATCGGAAAATTATCGAGAAATATACAACTCACTCCAGTGTGATAAATACTCCTCTAATTTTGTCATCTCCACCAATGAAATGACCTTTGCCACGACCACCAGCAAGAATTTGTGCTTTTACTACATACTCAATATCACCTTCAAACAACATCTCTAAATGGACTGGCGTTGTTAAAATTCGAGAAAGTGAAAAGGTCCATGGTGGCTAACCGAATCTCTTCAACTTCTCTCTTGCTTCATCTACATCCGATGCTACTATGAAGTTTTGCACGGTACATCCATGCTTATGCAGGAGCTCCTTGCTTTGATATTCATGCAAATTGAGAAACCGTTGTTGTGCCACCTAAATGCAGATAAACTCATGATTTACCTTCTAATATCGAAGGACCATATATAACTATACAGAAAAAACTGCTTCATTGCCAATCTCAGCTATAAATTATATAAAGAAAAACTGCTTCAAGCATGATATCAGTTCCCAGTTAAAAGCAAAACCTACTCGTTACTTACTACTTACAACTCTGATCCCTAATATATAAAGCATATGTGTGCAAAGGTATTTGGAAGGTACTTTCGCAGCTTGTATACAGCGCAGGAGAGGAAACAAAAACAGTGAGGCAGTCGGAGGTCGAGATGAAGCGTAAGTCGGCGGAACGGTAAGTCCTGAAATTTCGCTTGAAATATGTACAGCTTGACGTTTCGCCTCCCCAACTCCTTGGATACCGGAAATGCCAGCTAGTCACTTATAAAATAATTGGCGAGATGCTCGGCAACAACATCGGACACCAAGCCAGCACGGCATACCCCATCTTCGAGAAAATTATAGTGTAAATCCCGGTACAAACAAAAAAGGAGAAGCCGAGCTAAATTAGAAGCTTCCTTAAAAGCAAGTGACTCCTTGTACCCCTAGATTGAGGTTCTCCCCCGGTAAGAATGTTTTATGGGTTACCAAGGAGGTGAGGGAGCGCATGAGGAAGAAACGTCGGTCTACATTGGATGCTAGTTCGAAAAGAATCCAAAATTAGGTCCCCTTGCGGTCTTGTTCCTTCCATTTTACCATCACAAGTTCTAGCTTCATTATCACGTGTTCCCCTGCTAATGCTGCGGAAATAAGAAATCATTTCCAGAGTTCACGTCATATCTATTGCTTCCATGAATGGTAGCGCGGTCGATTTAATGCAGTGGGTCTTGATGTTTCTTTCCGTGACCGAAGCCTGATTTAGACTCAGAAACAATTGCACTGTTTCTGAGTCTAAATCAGGAAACAAAAATCTTTGTTCTTCTTGGATTGCTTCGTCAACATCGACGTAATACAATTCAAGTGTTGCAGAAATCATCGCAGCGGAGGCAGAGTTGCTATTCCTCAGGGAAAAATTTTTCCGGTAAACTTACTTTCATAGTAGATGAGTCCCACAAAAACAGTTTGTGCTATTTTGCTTTCAGGAGAGATGATGGGATTAATACTGATTTGTAAAATGCCTTGTTGCAACGCCGGAAACTTCATTGGTCTAGCAAAGCGCGACTTGAGAGCTTTCAAAGGGCCCACCACATGCCAGGCGATTTCAGTCCTATTCAAATTGGTTTTTTCAGACTCTCCTGACTCTCGTTGATGAATACGGCCACTGGGCCCTACCAGGAGGGCCCGCTTTTTCACTGTGTGCAGTGGTCCTACTTGTTGTTGATTTTATATGTCCTCCCCAGCTGGAACCAGTTACTCAACTTTCCTCTCCACTGTTCAATACTCTTGCTAGAATTGTTATATGAAACAGCCCCACTGGTACTATGCGAGGGCACTTCTCAAAGAACACTAATTGGCTAGGTTGCTTTACACTCCTAAACCCCGTTGATGAAATGCGTTAAATTGTGAAAATTTTGCCACATTTTTGAAGAGTCACCACAATCTGTTACGACTGCATTTTATATTTGTTTTATATTTTGTCTCACAACATCTGAGGACCAATACCTATTGTGAGTAGCGCAAAGGATTGGAAGACAGCAGAAGCACTATCAATCACGCACCGCATCCACAAAAAGCATTGTTGCCTATTCCACGGTCAACCGTTGCTAAAAAATCTAGATATACAATTTGAAGGAATCAAGCAGCGGCCTTTGGTTTTAATAAAAAGAAGAGTTGCACGATTCGGTGGAAGCCAATCCGGATGCTACACGTGAGGTTCCGCAAACACTTTTCTGCTCTCATGCCTCCGCAGCCCATGTTCTCTCTTGGCTACCGGAAATTTTTTGCTCAGTGGGTATCACCCCATCTTAGTGCAGCGAGCAAGATGTGCCGCATGGGCATCTGTCAGTCTCGGCTCCTTCTCCACAAAGAGAAAGTTTTTGAGTATTTAGCTACAAGAAATAAAAGTGTACTGTATGATATTAACATTAGGGAGCTGTTTTGATTCCGAATGACGAAGAACCACCGACGCAGCTCAGACCTGAGTCCTACCCTCACAAGATCTGGCTCTGCTGCTGGTAAGACGAGAGATGCTTTACTTTCAGATGATTCATCCAGTCGAAAGTGACAACTACCTAATACGTAGATCAACAGAGTTTGACCAAAACTATACGAAAAACCGAATAAGAGCACTGTGCATTTACAACGCCAAAGAACATGTGGCAAGGACACAGCACAAAGCAGAAATTAGATGGGATACGGTGTTCACCAGTATAGCACCCTGATCACTCTCGCGGCCCTAAAGCCACGTCTCAGCAAAATCTTTCGCCTCTTCTACGAACTAGTGGAACTCTGTAAAAGAGTATCCACAATTTGACCTCCTGGCGGACTACGGATTTAATACATATGATGGATGTTTTGATTGAGGGTAGTCATATCGGATACATATATAAAACAA